GTTCCTCCCTTGTTTTAACCGTTATCAGTATATCATCTACTCGAACCAAAACATTGGAGATACCTTGAACAACCTTTTCAAGTGTTCTCTGGAAAATACCTGGGCTGGACGCTACACCATACGGAAGTCTATTATACCTGAATAAACCCTTATGCGTGTTTATAGTCACATACCTTTTACTGTCCTCATCAAGTTCAATTTGTTGGTATGCTTGATTTAAATCCAATTTTGTATATTGTCATCCTCCTCCAAGCGTTGCGTATAAATCCTCAGTTTCAGGAATTGGATAATTACCCAACTTTGAAAAGGCATTAACGGTTACCTTGTAGTCACCACAAATTCTAATAGATCCGTTCTCCTTAACTACAGATACTATCGGAGCGGCCCAGTCGGAAAATTCCACTTGCTGAATCTGACCATCCTTCTCAAGACGTTCAAGTTCCATCTCCACTTTATCCTTCAACGCATACGGCAAAGGGCGAGCCTTGAAATATTTCGGTACGCACTCTCATCAACATAAATCTTGGCTTTCATGCCTTTTACAGTTCCAAGTTCATCTTTGAAAACCTCCTCATTTGCTTCCAAGATCCCATTTAAATCACTCGGTTGATTATCAGTTCCAACGACGGAGAAAATATCCTTCCAATCCAGTCGGAGTTTGTTCAACCAGTCTCGGCCTAGTAAATTCGGACCTTTACGCTTCACTATTAGTATTGGCAATTTTGCGCTTTCCTTCTTGTAATTGACATTGACGATTGCACGTCCTATTACAGGAATCTGCTCTCCCCTGTATGTTCGGAGTTTAGCACTTGTCGGTTCGATTCTGAATTTAGAATTGTATTCCTTGTTACTATCCTCGCTCATGATAGAAACTGACGCTCCGGTATCTATCTCCATGGCTATTTCACATTCATTCACATTGATTTGCACTTTATATGCCTCATTAGATTTATTTCCAAAATGAAAAACTGAGTAAACTTCATTTTCACTTTCACTTTCGCTACTTTCATCCTGCTCCATGAAATGAGCACGTGGTTCAAAACGTGATTTAAACTCTCTGTGATTTTCACTTAAATTCCCATTGACAGATTTGTTACGGCATTTCTTTGCTATATGTCCTTTCTTTTTAAAACTGTGACATTTTGCATCCTTAAACCTGCAATCAGCGGCTAAGTGATTTCCTCCACACCGGTAACAATCTCCTTGTTTCGAATTTCCAGAGTTGTTTCTTGTATATGATTTTGAAACTTTGTTGACTTGTTTCTGAAATGTTGCATTTGTCCCACTCGCTTGGATGTCTTGTGCGTTCTTCTCAGTAGTCTCCATAGCAGTAGCAATTTCCAATGCCTTGTCAAAAGTTAAATTCGGCTCTGCTAACAGCCTCCTCTGTATGCGGTCACTCTTTATTCCGACGACTAACCTGTCTCGTAACATCGCGTTTAACGTGTCACCATAATTACAGTGTTCTGTCAGACTTCTTAGTGCTGCAATAAATGTCCTCACTGACTCATCGCTGTGTCTTGTTCTACTGTTAAATTTAAATCTTTGGAAAATTTCTGATGGTACTGGATCTCGGTGGTCTTTCACTAGCTTTGTTAAATCGGCCAGTGGTTTCGTTCCTGGTTTGGCTGGTGCTAATAAATTCCTTAATAATTTGTAGGTATTCTTCCCACATACACTTAAGAAAATATCCCTTTTCTGGTTTTCTTCGTCTATCTCATTAGCATTAAAATAATGTTCCATACGTTCTACATATTGTGTCCAATCTTCGGATTCATCAAAAGACTCTAATGTCCCGTAAGTCGGCAATGTTACGTGTAGAAATTCACATTTATTTTAATATTCAGTTTTTTCCTCGTCGCCAAAATGTGTAATATATTTGCTATATAATAATACAATCCAGTTTCTATAACTACTTTATTAACAAGTACATCGTTTGATGGTCAGACTACAGAATGACAACATGTGTATAAGAACTTCAATTGATCTATTTAATTATGTTTATTTAAGAACGTGCAGACATGTGAGAGTTGCTGATCAGTCAATTATAATTACTGTAACAGATGATACGGTAATAAAGTGCGGTGAACAAAACCTATGATTGCGTTGGATAAAAACCGCAATTTTTATACGTGTGCATGCAAAACAAATTTCTTGTTAGAAGGGTCTAAATATAGCACAAACAACAATTTCCAAAAGACCAAAAAAGGGAAAAAGTATATTTTAACAAAACGCATTTGACTAACAGGTCGAACAACAAATGTTTTTAAACCCTGCTGACTGCCATTAGCGATTGCCAAATAAACGGATCACCGATGTAATAAATGGATCTTAATTATCAATTTAATACTAAACAGAAAACAATAAACTTGCGGAAAAGATGGTATACCGCAAACAAAAGGTGCAAAGGTTTTTGTACACCATATCCGGATTTCGACAATTAATATAAAAAAGAAGATGTGATATGAATGCCAATGAGACAACTCTCCACAAGAGACCAAATGACACGGAAATTAACAACTATAGGCCACCGTACGGCCTTCAACGAGCAAAGCCCATACCGCACAGTCAGCTATAAAAGTCCCCGAAATGATAATGTAAAACAATTCAAACGAGAAAACTAACGGCCTACTTTATGTTAAAAAAAAAATTAACGAAAAACAATGTGTAACACATAAACAAACGACAACCACTGAACGACAGGCTCCTGACTTAGGACAGGCACATACATACAGAATAAAGTCTCTTCAGTGATGGATATATATGTTATGTCATGTCTGTAGTATATATATACATATGTAGGACTCTAAAGTGTGATGGGAACGCTAAAGTACGATGGTCACGCTAAAGTGCGATGGTCTGCGCTTATTAAGTGCGATGCCTCCATACGCTAAAGTCCGATGGTCCGGGAAGTATAGACGTAAGAAACGTAGTTGGATTATGACGTTAACAGTCGTTTATACAGACTAAAAATGAACATGCCGGAAGATAAATAAAAAATATTTGCAACTTTTAAACCAAATGTCCTTTAATTCAAACCTGAAAGTGCTTTGTCGGCTGAAGCAAATGTGTTTTTTTTCTAGTGCATGCTGGAAGAATGACTTGTATCCTGCAGTCGACCATTTTACTATATAGATACAAAATAGTATACGCATAAGTATCCTGTATCCCGCTTCTATTGGAAGCGAACAGATACATTTAAATCATTGTTTACGTTGCAGTTTACTTTGCGGTCACCGTTTAAATATTGTTTATTTTATTGAAAAGTAAGGTCACATGTTTTCAAGCGTAAATTATAAATGTCGGCTAAAACATAGTTTGTACACTGTAGGAAAATGTAACGTAACATGTATGTGTACTCGTTACGACAAAGGAGAGAGCTCGGCAAACATCGCCTTTCTTTCGCATTTAAATTAAAGCTTAATATACAAATAAATGTTACTTATTCCGACAATGAACTAATTTTGTATTTGTAATTTACAATGACGACTGTAAGGGGAAGTGTTCAGATTATTGATAGACTGTGTGAACGGCAAGCTACACCAATTATCTAAATATTTAATACACCCGAATTGTTAAAAATTCATGTACAGGAAATATAGTAGTTTGTGACACCTTGAAATTCAGTACGTTTAATCAAAACAATTTGTATGTTAAAACTTCTAGAAAGTATACGCAGTTGGCATTTTTAACGTACAGCATGCTTTGATTTCATTTGATACAACTTTTTGAAGGAAACAGACTCGTTACAGTTGAAGACAAAATGACCAAAACAAATGCCCTAATATGGTAGTCACATGACTCTCATTGTTGTCTTTAAAAATGGGGTCAAACTGGGGTCAGCTTTCCGACTCATAAAACATGGACTGGTTCAGAAGTATACATTGGTGTTCAGCGCCACAATATTAGCGAACGTTTGCTTTTGTATGTAGTTTCGTCAGTCAATAAACATTACGTGAACAATAAACTGACACTAAATAAAAAGAAGTCGAATATAATTTGTTGAAATCGTGGACTTCTTTTTTTTTTTTTTTTTAAATAGTAACATATTGCTTTCTATGAAATAATTTATAACTCCCGATGGAAAATTTTTAGCCATATGATGGTATAGCGATGTAGTCCGAAGACGTTTGGTTTCGATATAATAACTTGAGTATACGTGTATGGATCTCTATGCAATAGGACCACAAGGTTCCATACCACAAAAGCCAGGTTGGGATTGATTTTGAGGATTATGGCCCTAAGCGTTTAAGAATTGTGGGCTAAAAAGGGGCCAAAAGCAAGCATTTTCTGGTTTCCAGACAATAACTTGATTATAAGTGACTGTATGGTTATGAATGAAATTGTACCAACATGTTCCAAATCACAAAATGAAGGTTTTATTGAATTTGGAGGTTATGACCCTATCCGTTTAGGAATTAGGGGCCGAAAAAAAGAGGTAAAAATCAAGCCGATTGATTTCAAATTAGTTATTTAATTTCAATATAATCTAACACGATCCTTTGGCGATACTAAATTCTTACGAGTTATTACTCATATTCCTCTTATGGTAAACATTTTGTTTGTGTTAAATAAAACATTCTGCGAATCGTTGATCTAGTTTTTTGCACATACTTATATGACGTCATAAATTCTGTTCCGGGGTCAACTTCGACATCAGACATTTTTTGTACGCTACGGAATGTAATAAAATTTGACAAAAAGAATGTGTTCATGTGAAAAGTGTGAGTATTTTGTATATTCTTGAAAGAATCACATATCTCCAGTTGCATGGAGAAAATGTACATCGTCTGAACCTTTGACTTTAATTTTGACATTCATGATCTCACCAGTAGCCAATGATAATGCCGTAGTATCGTTTCATGATGCTGGATAAGCCAATCAAATTAACACATTTTCGTATAAAACTCCGTGATGTGTTATACGCAAAATTAACATGTCTTCATGCGAGAAAAAGATAACAGACCACAACCATAAGATAAGGTTTATTTCAATTTTACCTTTCGTGGTTATCATCGATACAAAAACTGTAGAAATATCTCTTCTAGTTCCATGACGACACGACCAATATCCCTCAATGTTCTGACTTGTTTCTCCATGTACTATAAATTGTATTTCTTTTGTAATTGTGTTATATGACATATTACCATTTTCATAATATGCTTCACAGTCGAATGGATAAGGCGGAATACAGACTGCCTGCTTGTTGCCAGAAGGATCATAAATGAAAACTCTTAAACGTATATCTGATATCTTGCATGTCAACGTAAGCTTATTTAAGTCCAACTTCCAGCCTAGGCAAATATTCGTTTTGCACATATCACTCCCTATAAACGAAATTCAAAATATGTAACATGTTCATACAAATAATAGCACATTTGAATTTAGTTTGCTCGGTAAATTATGAAAGGCAAACTGACTATAACAAACTGAGTGAATTAAGTCTGGGAGAACATGATTTATTTATTTGTTGTAATTGGCTTTGAACTAGTACTCTTATTTCGGTGCTTTGTGTCTATTGTTTTATGTTAGTTGTTTTGTTTCTCGTGTCGATCTTTTGAGTTAAGCCAATTGCAACTGTTCTTATGTTGTGTTGTAGCACCACTGTCCTAGGTTAAGGGAGGGTTGTTTAAACCCGCCACATTCTTTATGTGCCTGTCCCAACGCAGGAGCTTGTAGATCAGTGGTTGTAGTTGGATCATGTCTGTTATTTTTGTTCTTCATAAATTGATTGTTTTTTTTTTTATAAATTAGGTCGTTAGTTTCTCAATTGGAATTGTTCAACATTTTTCATGTCGGTGACTATTATAGCCGAGTATACCGTGACGGTATGAGATTTTCTCATTGTTGAAGGCCGTTCCATATTGCTTATACTTGCTTACTTCCACATCATTTGAACTTTGATGGATAGTTGATTCATTGGAAATCATAATACATCTCCATATTTTTACATTATTGAAAACCACTATTGCTATATATAGTGTTCTGTCTGAACAGTTATAAACTTCAGAATAGAGGTTAAAAAAAATACCGTCTATGTCTTAAAACTATTTATCAAAAGATATGTTCATATCATGTTATTATGAAGTAAAAACAATTGTATTCAATATTTGTTATTTTTTTAAAGTAAAAATAACACAAGGCATATATAAGCAAATGTTAAAATTAAGAAACAAACTTGAAGTAAAAAAATTCAATTATTTGTCTTACATGTAGTGTTTGATTTAGACAGCGTAATTGATACGTTTTGTCATGTGTAATGGAAGCAATTACTAAAATTAAGGTCGTAAATGTTTAAATCCTTCACAATATAAAAATAAGAAGATGTGGTTTGATTGCCAATGAGACAACTCTCCACCAGAGACCAAATGACATAGAAGTTTACAACTTTAGGTCATCGTACGGCCTTCAACAATGAGCGCGCATAGTCAGCTATAAAAGGCCCCGAAATGAAAAATGTAAAACAATTCAAACGAGAAAACTAACGGCCTGATTTATGTACAAAACAATGAACAAAAAAAACCAAACATGATATACAGTAACAAACGACGACCACTAATCAGTTAACCGAAATATGTTCTTGCATAAGTTGACTGTATAAATAAAACACGGCAGATGTCAAAAACGAAACATCATAGAGTAACATTCCATTTGCCGCTTATTTATACGTATTATATGTGTAGGATCAATATTTTGCATCGTTCTTTTTTAAAATATACAAATTTCGTGAAACTTGCCTTCAAACAATATATCATGGTAAAATATATTAACTATCTTTGTACATACCATTGAGGTAATAAAAAGTCACAAACAATGCTCTCAAAATGTTCCACGCCATTGCATCCATTGATGAAACATGAGCTTATTTTTTTTTAAATAATAATAAAGAGAAATATTAAAGGTAATTGTGTAGTTAAGATATGATTATTTCAGTGACTGGACACCAATATTATCATTGCTTTTTTACATGTTTGAGAAAAATATGTTTTTTTTTCTGTAAAAAATAATAAAAAAAAAATATGTTATTATAGTTATACTTGGACATTATCAAGAATAATTATCTTTTGAAATTGTTGGTTATATGAACGAAATGTCGCATATCCTTTTCAAGTTTGTTTATCCTATTTGTAGATCCTTTTAAGACTAAGCTAGAAAAAATCGTCATGCGAATCATCAGAAGCATTACCTTTAGAAAAACAAACCGAATACATAAACTAACAAACTCGACGAAAGACAGAGGTGTTGCATGCTCTGAATACCCCCGGCGAAAGAAATTTTGTCTCTGTACTTAAAACTGAACAAGACGTTATTGGTTTTGTGGATCAAAAATTTAAACAGACAGTCTAATACGTATGCATTAAAACATCATATTATATCTTGTGATTTTCTAAGCTAAGGTAACCAATTACACTCACACATTGGTGGGGTACGAGACAAAATACCTGAAATAACCAAGTTCTTTGGTCGTCACCATTAACTGATTAATCGTTACAGTGCATAAGTTTCACTAGTATATTGTGACATTTTAAAACTTTCATATATAAAAACAAGTAGTGCAATTGCAATGGAGAAACTTATCCATCCGTATGACGTGGATGTAAACAATTATAACGCATCTTACGATCTTGAATAATGAGCAAAACCTAAACCGTATAGTCATCTATAAAAGACTTCGACATGACAAAAGGTAAAATTCAAACGAGAACCAACAGCCTAATTTACGACAAACAACTGAACAACAAAAAAATAATATAAGTGACAGCAACCAACTTCAACCATTAGATTACTGACTTCAGACAGGCACACGAAGAACCTTTACCCCAACCAGCGAGTGTGATGTGTAACAGCACAGCTTATCTTATCTAAATGTGCGGACTCTGTAAACAACATTACCTTAACAATTATAATGGGATATCCTGTGATCTCAGTAACATGATAAACTTTGTTTTTTTCATTGCTTTCATAATATTGATTCCTTAAAATGCGTGTAATGTAATGCATACATCGATTCCTGCAAACGCGTTTAATATATCGGGCATCCAAACATATTTTTTGGCTGACTCAACGTAACCACAAAATCAATCAAACTTTTTATATCGGTTTTGCCATATAAAATTGAGACATTCATCGAAATAGTCGACGTAAAAGGCTTTTTATGCGTTATTGTTATAATTATGATTGGAACGAAAAAATCAAAGTTATTGTTTTTCAACATTACCATGAATTGGATTAACGTTTGGAACACATCTGAACGTAGTTATCAAACTTTAAGCATTGTTTATAGCTCATTTAATCTTTGAATAGACATTAAGTCTCCGTTATTATTTTGTTAAAATATTTCAACCAGCACCAGAGAGGCGTCTCAATTATTATTATATATATATATTTCTGTATTGGTTATTATATAATTTCCGGGTATGTCTGGAAAACATTGTCTCTGTTAACAATTTGAAAATATCCAGGAAGGATATAATTTTTAGCAAATTTGTATATCAATGATTATATTTCCTTCCGTAGTTTGGTCAGTGTTTTATTTTCGAAAAAAGCATATAGGTCAAGTGTAAATACATATGCATTTTAAAATAATGATATTGTTTCTACATATTAATATATAGTTGGTAGAACAATGATCAGAATTCCATTTCATTAAACTAAAACTAACACTTAAAACAGACTGCAATACGTATAGAATGCAGACAAGTGATTTTAGGAACGAACGTGATTTAAGTTGTTTAAGCTTTACCATTGTTTTTTAGATTGACTAATGTACTGAATCATGTGAATAATATTGTTGATATTAAATCGTAATTTGTCAAAATATTTATGAGTATCCTGCATATGACAATACAATCCTTAAAACTCGATTCAAACTTCTTTTATCTTCAGCGAAGGGGATTTTTGACGGTTTTGACTATTGTGTACATGTGTGCCCCTTAAGTTTTATTCTTTATCAATACATATGAAGGAATGCGTTGTTCCTCATTATGTTGACCCTCAGTGTGCCTGTTGAAGGTAAATACAGAACAACACATAGAAACCAGCAATGTGATATGTCTCAAATTTACTTTCCCTTTCAACGAAATCTAGACTATTAAGCCAATGCGAAACATTATCTTTAGAATTTCCCATGTTTCCATAAAAATGCGATGTTCCTACCATACATTTTAGGAATAGTCCTTGTGCAGTTTTTGTCCACACTGCATGTTTGTTCCTGTCAAATTAATTTGTTCCGCATGATTACTTTCAATTATTTTATCATACGGAAATGAAAACTACATATATAATCTGCATGAATAAATACCTAGTCATTTTATCAAATCCAAATTAAGTCTGAAAAGGATTAATCGCCCTTCTTTCATTTTAAATTCATGCCACAGTATTCGTTTTATAACTCTTAACGATTTCATTAATGTTTGCGTCGATGTGACGGTTTTAGTTGATGAAATGCATTTTTACCGTTTTGCACTGTAACATAGGTTAATAATTCGTTCAACGTTGGCATAAGCATAATCTGAAGATTCCTACGTTCATGGCGTTTAACCAATTATAACTTTTCACATTACATGAGCAACAGGACGTGTGTTATAATTTAAGCAGGAGGCGCTTACTTTTCATACACACGGTTTTACAGAATTATTTGTTACTTAGATTTAATTTAATTTCCTCTGTCGTCTTTTATTTACTATCTGTTTGTGTATATGTTTTTTTTTTCTTTACTTCTTACAATAGTAGTAAGTCCTTTTATAATACCAGCAATTATACATAAACAAGATACAACATACATGTATTTATAAACGGCACATACTGTTGAAAGCAGATTCAAATTGGGATCGATTGCTAAGGTAGCCACAGCTGCTGGTTTGATACCCCAGAGGAAAACAAAATAGTAACAACAAACAAGTTTCGAGAACTATCATCATAGATCATCATAGCAATTGATTAAAATCGGCAGTATGTAATAGAGGTCAACACGTATTTAAATCATCAGACAACAGAATGAAAGGACAATTTTAACTGATTTTTGAACGGTGTAAGAACTCTCTTGAGTTTAAATGTATCATTTCAATGCATCACTTTTACAAACAACACTACAATAAAATTAAGGGTGGAATTCTGTCTTATATGAAGTGTATTTAATTTACTAATAAAATTCCGTAGTACCCGAGATCACCCCCAGTCTTTAGTTTTCTATGTTGTGTTTTGTGTACTATTGTTTGTCTGTTTGTCTTTTTCTTTTTAAGCCATGGCGTTGTCAGTTTATTTTCGACTCATGAGTTTGAATGTCCCTTTGGTATCTTTCGCCTCTCTTATATAAAAGAATG